CCCTGTGGATAGCTGTGTGCAATCCCTTCTGGAAAGGTGAGCTCAATAGGTAATCTCTTTTCATCCAGGTAATAAAAGAGAAGAGAATTCTTGCTTCTTATTCTTAATCAGAGAGTGAAGAATTTAACTGTAAGAGGAACATTGAGAATCCAAGGAGTCTAGAGGAGACCATCTTCTATTAGAATGTTCAAACACATGATAGTTCAGGTCCTCCCCCATCTTTCAAGACAATGCAATATGTCCTATTCCAGCCCTATTCTTCAGCATAAAGAATGCAATAAAGAAGTCTATGTGATTAATGCTAATATTGGTAACAATATTGCTGATGTATGTAAACATTATTAAAAAAAATTATTAATTGAAGCATACTACTTCAAAAGATGCCCATATTTGTGGAAGAATTACCTTTAGAGCTGTTATCTACTGTATGTCATCTTATGAAGTTTCTAAGATTACCCTATAGTCAGATTTTATTCAATGTGTACCTTTTAATGCATTAAATGTGTATCAAAAACTGGTTCTTCTTTCCAGAGTAAATAAGAGCCTCAAGACGGGTGTTCATCAATAATCCCCATAAATGGTAAAAGCTGTAAACTCGGTTATAATTAGATCAGGTGTATTTTTTGTTGTTGTTAAAAAGGAAGTCGCCCTGTTGCCAAGACTGTCAGTTATAACAATGTAAAAGCCAAAGAAAATTTTAACATTTTCACTGTACTTTGTTACTTGATAATGGGAATACTTTTCCTCTATATTAGGAAATCCCAGTAGGCTCTCCCAGAGGTATGTCTGGATCTAAATTGCTACCTCTTTCTCAACCAAAGGTAGCCTAAAAAAATTGGATGGATTCATTGCACAGCTCTTCTGTGGATTCCTGGATGGTTTTCAAAAGCTTGTATTTGCAATATATGCTCTCAGAGCCATTTGTCTGAGGGACTGCCTTTTTCCATGGAATAAATTGCTTGTCACTGTCAGAACAGGTGTTTGCATGAGAGGGATTTTGTGACAGAGAGGTATAACAGGATGTTTTCTTTGAGAGGAGGCGTGRAGCTGGGAACTGATTTTCCCCACAGGCAGGGGCAGTCCCCAGGGAAATGGGATGGGTATGTGAGCTAGCACCCTCCTGCAGGGTCCAGCTGAGAGCAGCCACCATGGTGTGCCCACTTCCCAGGCTGTCACAGCTCTGGATTTGAGTGTGAGTGCTGGTACTGCTAACTGGGGCTCTGCTACCACGCAGGCACAGAGCACTACTGGTGGTCTGTGCGTGTACCGCCTACCCGTCATTTTTTGCTCAGGATGCTGCTTCACTTCCGCCTACCTTCTAGCAAAATTAGCAGAATCATACCCCACCCACTTCCCTGTGCCAACAGAAGTTGTCCCCATCTACCCCTGGAGGCAGCCAGACACCCACTGCTGACTCACTGTTGCCATCTGCAAGCCTGGGCAGCAAAGCTCTTGCTGTCACCCACCCATCACTCAGCTGAAAAAGGCTTGTGAGCACAATGGCACAGTGTGAGATTCACCTGCTCCACCAGGTGGTCTTTTCTCTTGGCCATTGTTGCTTTGTGCTTTGCTTAGTGACAGATGGGTGACTGAAGTGATTTCTGTTATGCAGACTGACATGATAGAAATAATTTAAAATAAAATTACTGAAACATTTGCTGATGTGTATGAGGTTCAGTGAGGTGAAGTGTCCGGTCTGGCACTTGGGTAACGATAGACCTGTGCAGCACTACAGGCTGGGGCACAGTGGCTGGGAAGCTGCCCAGCGTTGAAGGACCTGGAGTGCTGGTTCACAGCTGCTGCACAAGATCCAGTAGTGTGCCCAGCTGGCCAAGAAGGCCAGTGGCATCCTGGCCTCTGTCAGGAATAGTGTGGTCAGCAGGACCAGGGAAGTGGTTGTCCCTCTTTATGCAGCACTGGTCAGGTCACACMTTGAGATCTGTGTCCAGTTTTGGGCCCCTCGCTACAGGAAGTGCTGGAAGTGTTGGAGCATGTCCAGAAAGGAGCAATAGAGCTGAAAAAGGAGCACAATTCCTATGAGAGGCTGCTGAAGGAGCTGGGGATCTTTAGCCTGGAGAAAAGGAGGGTCATGGGAGATATTATCGCTCTCTACAACTACATGGAAGGGGGCGGACCTCTTCTCCCTGGCAATCAGCAACATGCAAGAGGAAATGGCCTCAAGCTGCACCAAGGGCGACTCAGGGTGGAAGTCAGGAAGAATTTCTTCACTGAGAGGGTTGTCAAGAATTGGATTGGGGTKTCCAAGGAGGTGATGGAATCACCATCCCTGGAAGTGTTCAAGAAACAAGCGTTAGTTGGCATGGTGCTGCTCAAAGGTTGGACTCAGCCGTCTTGGAGGTCTTTTCCAACCTTAATGATTTTGTGCTTCTATAAAGGAAAGCATTCCCCCAAAATTAGTACCACTTGCCTCACAGATACTACCTGATGTTGTCTGTATTATATTTATAATAATACATAATATTACTGTAAAAGGGACAGTGGTATCTTAACATCCAATGTTCAGAGAGGTGTGCAGTCACACTCTACCAGCAGAAGTTCTCCTGCGGATGAGAAATGCACCCAAACAAGCATAGTTTTAGCAGAAAAACTGGAATCATTGGATAATAGATTATCCAGTAAATGGTTAATCATTGGCATATGTGATTTTACGAATGGGCAGGGCATTGAGTTGCATACTGATCTGGCAGGTGACTATTATGAGACAATCTTGTGTTACATTTGTGTATGTCCAAGTATGATAGAGTAACTAAGAGTTCAAAGGACTTCGCTGTAAGCACACCTTAATGGAGAGACAGTAATGTGCAGAGGTAGAAATCAAACTGGTGTTCTCCTATCCCTATATGTGCAGTGCTGCTTGGTAAGTGTTAACTGAGCTGGGCTTCTGTAGTTCCAGCCAGCTGAATCTGTCAGTCTTATAGTACTGATTGCTGCTTAGTAAACACAAAAACTTTGAAGAATGCCYATAAACTTGTATTTAGTCATCACATTTTGCAGAGCATGGGTTTTTTTGCAATCRATTTGCCTAAAGTTAAGGGTTGAATAGATAATATTTGATTGATGGATTGAAACTATGAAAAAACCAAGTTTTCYAGAGTGTTATTTGGTGAAAGGCACAAAAAGAATAGGGTTCATACCAACCACACACCACTGTCGTCTTTTCATGGCTCAAAGTTGTTATTAAATGMAACTTTCTTTTTCCTGTACAAATGGAAATGTTATGACTTTGATTGTCCTGCAAGAGATGTTTGCAATTTCCAAATAGCCCCTTTTAAGTCTGTGACCATTCCTCCTCCACAGGTCATTTTTTGTGGTATATTGCCTCTCCCTTCCCTTCTATCTAACAGGAGACATTGTCTACTGTCTTGGGAGTCACAATGTTTACATTGCATTTTACTTWAATCTTCTGTTTATATAAATTTTTCCTGCTCTATTCTGTATATTAAATTTCACTTAATTCTTAAACATGCACCTGACATACTGTGAATTTATTTCATGTTGTTATGTGTAAGAGTTAGAAATATATCCCTTGAGTTTTCTTCTGTGAAATATTTCTTCCTTACCTAGATACTGCTTTTGTATTCGACATTCATAACAATGAAGTAGCTTATAGGGAGCTGTTTCTGCTTCTAAGGATAGTTCAAATGGTTGCTCCCTGGGACACATTTTTGCAGCATCAGTTGTTAGATTAAAGAATGTAAAGAAYACCGACAATGTACTTGGTTTTCTGGCCACTCAGTGCTACCAGTGAAACCCACCTTACAGTGTGTGCATGCCCAAATGCATCAGTGACTACAGAGAAAGGCAAGGTGCATAAATAACTCAGAATCAGCTTCATTAGTATGAGATTTACAGTAACACAGGTCTCRTATAACCATTTGAATTCTTTTGTAATGCAGACGAGGATCCAATGTCTCACTGACTCTGGATATGAGCAGCTTGGGAAGTGTTGAACCTTTCGTCACTGTACCAACCCCCCGAGAAAAAGTAGCGATGGAATACCTGCAGTCAGCTGGCCGTGTCCTGACACGGCAGCAGCTTCGAGACACAGTTGCATGTTCCCATTTACTGCAAACAGAATTCATGGTGAGTTCAACAACGTGCTTGAAATGAGGATTTTGACTTAAGTGACACAGAAACTGTGGGGAAAAAATAATCAGGCAGCACTCTAATGTCAAGGTACAAATCATTTCCAAAGGGCAGATTAGATCGTTTCAAGATGGTGTTTTATGGTTGTGCACTAAAGACAGATAAGTCAATCAGTTATATCCATGGTTTGAAGGACTGTGACATGTGACAGTCCCAAAGAGATCATAAAGGCTATGATAACAGAAAACACAGTAATAATTGGAGATTTTGTTTATTTCCATGTAAACATCACTTCTATACCTGTGGCAGGGATAGATTCAAGCAGATCACTAGAGGTTCTGTCTGTTCTGATRTTGAAGCATTAATAGAAGGGATTCTATAACAAACCAGTAAAATTAATAAAAGTAAGCTAGTAGTCATCCAGGAATCCTAAAGGAGTCCATATATGCACTTAACTGGTATATTAACTGGAGAGGTATAATGTAGCAGTTGTGCTTCAGCAGCTGATGAATCAGAGGGCCAGAGGTAGCTGTTTTTCAGAAGTGTTCCAGAACAGATCTGGAGAACTGCATGTCAAATACTCTGATATCTAGGTCAGGGAAACTGGAAGGAACTTAAATAAAGAAGCCAATAGGTATATGAATAAATGCAATACAATGATGAATAATCAGCACAGGGCAGCACCAGAAGGACTGGTTGCTTCTCAGAGTAAAAGGTCACCAGTGGAGTCCCAGAGGCATTTCTTCTGGAGCTGATGCTGAGAAAGATGCTTACAAGTCGTCTGGCACGTGGAATAARTAGCTAGTTGGTGATATTTGAATATTTGATTATGACACTGGATTACCAACGGTAGTAAAATTAAAAATAGACTTCCAAKAAAGATTTATAATGGTGATGAGGCAGAGCAAGTCCAAGTTTGGTAAATAAATTTATGCATTTGGGTGAAAATAGTTTTGTATACTTTGATGGGTTCTGAAATAGAAAGCTGAGAGTCTTGGGAAAATAACTAGAGAATGATACATAAAAMACACTCATAAGATTGGAAAAAATCTATAATGCATTCGCAACTGCAGATTGCTAAAATCTCCCCTAGCATATATGGAAGCATGGCAAACGTAAGTGTTGGAGAGTGCAGCTTCTGTATCAGCAGATACTAAATTGACAGTGTCTCTGCCTAGAAAAGAGACTGTGAGAGGCTCTAGCATAAATCTGTAAAGTTCCARTTGGAGTGATTATTCATGGGTTTTTATGCCAGAAAGACAGTATCAGGTGACCAGGTGGCTATACAAAGAAGAGCTTGTCCCATTCCAGTTGCCTCAGTTCCCTTGCAAGCAGTTGCTATTGGAGAATTCCAGAGGGGAGGAGCCTGCATAACCAACTACCCAATCTGGGCCTGACTTTTTCAGCTTTTATGAGTGTAACATAACAAGATATGTAAGAACTGGAAGAACTATAGAACTGCCTGAGCATTCTAACAAAGACACACAAACAATGCACTTCTTATTAAACATGCCAGAGCACCTGATCCCTTATGTTTCATTTTGTTWCCAATTTGTGCATGCGAATCAATAGATGATGTGTGCTGTCTTACTCTAAAAATAATTTTTCATTATAAATAATTGCATCCTGTGAAGCAGCCCTGTTATTTACCTTTAAAATCCAAGATTTATAGTAAAAGTCATTTGCTTAAGAAAAGTAAATCCCTCAGTTCTTCTACCAAAAAGTGGACAGACCGTGTACACAGAAAAAATTACAATCATCCAACATACTTTTATCACCAGTTATGCTGTAGGTTCTCTGCCATTCTGCTGCTTAGAAAGAAAAGTCAGAAGAAATAATTTCATTGTGCTTAAACCCCCTATGCTAGGAGACAGTTTGTACAGACAAATTGGCACCTCAGAATCCTGTTTACCCAAACTCTCTGACACAGGAGTYGTGTACAGCTCTGGGGAGACAGAGAGTCACATTTTATTTGTCCCTTAGCGGGGCACAGCATGGCTTTGGCCATTCAGTGTTTCCACAGGATTTTATTGAAAAGACCATGACTTGTCTGTTCTGTTTTTAAACCATTTTTTAAAATGTGTTTTAAGATGAAGCTGTTGAACAGTATCTGTTTACAATGTTTGTTGCYACAGATAATAGCTCAAGTAGGAACTTGAGGCATGCAAAGAACGCAGTATGTAATAACCCTCACCCATTCTGCTCACATAGCTCATTTTAACTAGCTGAAGAAATACAGTAAGGCAGTCATCTGGAGACTAGAATTATTAGTTCTCATGAAAAAATTCCATGTGTGAAAAAAGTAGAGTTCTAAGTTTTCAGCAGAAAATTAAAACATGAGCAGTTTCAGCTTATTTTTAGTTATTTAATTTTTTTATTAACAATTAAGGAGGCATTACTTACAGTGTCTGTAAAAGGTTTTTAATTGCCATCAAAATATTTTTCTGTAATATTTATTAAGCTATTTTCCTTTTTTTTTTTTTTACTATTTCTACAAAAAGATACAGTATTTTTGGTTGGGAAAATACTGATTTGCAAGGAGGATGAAACATAATTTGCCCAGCATAGACTTTTTCTTTAGTAGCCTGAGTTGCTACTCTTCAAAAGACAGGATATCTGAAGTGGTGACAGAAGATAAAATTCATTATTTCCAAAACACTGGAATGTCAAGAAATACAGTTCTGCATGGGAATGTGCCAGATCATTAAATCTATAAAATTAGGTCCTCATAAAAATGGAGGGATGGGTATAATGACTACCTGCCTGAATTTTGCCACATTTTCTTGAATATTTCCAGAGACCCAAATCATACTTCTAGAAATGTATGAACGATTGTAGCATTTAAAGCCTAATGTGAGCCAGAATAGCTGTTATTAGAAGGTATCCCTCAGAGAGGGAAAGTAGCCATGAACGTTATACATATGCATCTATAATTGTATGCAAGTGACTGAACACATGAATGTGTGCAGTTTACACATTATTTGCAATTATTTTATTAAATATATATTTGTTTAAGAAAACAATTATATATATATATATATATATATATATATATAGCCTATACAGCTACAGATTTTGTATGCTAATTTGCACATGTTCCTGCTATTTGCAGTCTGCTGGGCTTATTCGCTCCCCTATTAGCAGGAATGTTATTCCCATATTATCCTGATCTTCTTTTTTCTGGAATAATCTCTTTTCTCTCACAGCCAGTTTCAGAATAAGTGACTTGTCTGTGGCTGTGATCCACGGTGTATTGTCAGATTTCTGTCTGTGCCCTTGGACTCACAAGTACTCACTACTGGGAGGAGACCACTGATTAGAAAGTGTTTACAGGATGTAAGTGATTAATGTTATTAATGGTCCCTGTTGGCCCAGAGAAATGTGTTTCTGTTTTCAACTTGGTGGCATTTTTGCATCTGTCAGTAACCTGCCAAATGATGAACTATTTAAAAATTTCAGTAGACATAGTGAGGGAGACAGCCAGGCAGCTGCAAGACCCTCACTGACCCCGGTCACTTGGGCAGGCAGGGGGACTCTTCCTCACATGTCTTTTTCCAGTCCCTGTAGATGACAGACCTTGATCACATTAAGCACAGGCTTAGTGCCTTGCTCTCTTTCACCTGATGCATCGTTCAGCAGAGAAACCTTTCAGAGGCCATGCACCAGTGGTGYTTATACTAAGCCAAAACTGAGCTAGGGAAGCTCTAGGTCAGCCAGTTGGAACTATTCAGAGCCYGAGGGCCAGGGGTAACAGTCTCACTGAGGTCACCACTGGGAAACAGTATAAGTCAAAGGAGAATATGAGGAGGATGTGCGAGCTCATTTTGTCATTTTGTGGAGGAGGAAGCAGCATTAGACAAAGGTGAGATGGCTTGACCTGAGGTAGTGGGGATGAGGTTTTTGTAGGAATGAAGTCTTAGAAGTGAGAAGATCCTGAACTTCGGACAGCCATCATATGGATGGCAGTACAGGGATCTGAAAAAGGATTGGGTGAAGTACCTGCAAGGAAGATGTGTCTTAGCAGCAACACTTTGGCTGGCCTGGACACAGCAAGCCATTCTTTCGTGGAGTCAGCTGAAGACCAAAGGAGAGATCAAGGAAGAAACTGAGTGGGGCAGAGGGAAAGAATAAAGAAGGTCCATGAAATGCGTGAGCATAAGGCAGAGGAGGTAGAAAATTAAAATACAACACAGATGCAGCCTGGCAGTGTAAGATGTTCAGAAGCCAAGTTGGGAAGAGGAAAGGAATCTCAGCATTTTATTACGAACCATCTAAATTCTACTAAACTTTGCCATCACTTCAAACAAAGTTGAAAAAGAAAAGTGAGAGGATAGCTTCCCCTGCTTGGTGAGCCCATGTAAAGATCTGCTGTTGGGTGCATGCTTGAGAAGCTGTTGGAAGCCTCATCCTGTTCTTTTAAAAAAACCCTACAGAGATCACTCACGCTAGGCAGGACCACAGCATGGGTCTGAAGGCTAATGGCCATGCRTCTCATCTCTGCCAAAGTAATGGACAGGCCTGCACCTCTAGATTAGAAACCAACCCATTTTGGAGGAAAATCCTTAAGTAAATTTTCCAGTGATGCAAGCCAACAGATCCTGCTTGTGTTCCTATGTGTCTTTTAGAGGCAATTACTTAATATGCCACTGTCTCTTAGGCTAAATGTCCCAGGCTAGGATGAAGTTTTCAACTCTCTAGTTATGACTGTTCTTTTAAGTAGAAGTATTAATTTACTGAAGATCAAATTCCAGCTTACCCTAGGATAATTCAAATAATGGTGGCCAAAAAAAAAACCTAGCAAAAAAATGAAGATTTGAGTAAACTGAAGCATTTTTAACGTGATTTTACCAGATCGTTTTAGTTGGTAAAACGTCCCCCACAATCATGAAAAAACAAACTACCCCTCCATGTTTCATCTTGTAATTTTAAAAAGGTTGTTTTTATTCACTGTAAAAACACTGTTTCAGGACCTCAAAATCAAAATTATTCTTACCCTCCCTTAAACCAAGTTGAACATTTTGTTCAATGCAGCATTCATAGATTTTTACTTTTCATGCAGACAATTTGGAAAACTGTAATTTTAAGTTTRTGAGAAGTTTATCACTTGTACATTTTTGAAACTTCAAGGAAACTGTCACATTAGATACTTGCACATCTGCACATTTAAAGAAAATGTAAACCAGTCACTAAAATATTAAATTGAGAAGAAAAAGAAATAGCTTCAGATTTTTATTACTTTTGAGTCACTGAATGCAAAAGACTAAGGCATTTCATGCTAGTAATTTAAATAAAAGGCAAGTGAGGTCTTTGAATTTTGTTGCTAAGGGCTTAGCACAACATTTTCTTTAAAGTTCACCATTTATTAATATTTAATTATTTTTAAAGTTCCTTCCCCAATTATATAAAATATTGCTCTGTTTTGCCATAGTACTGTACTGTTGAACTCCACTTTTCTAGAAATATAGTGCCTTTTAACTTTGGTCCCAATCCCATCAAAACTTTTCTTTTAAATAATTCATCAGAAGTGTTCCTTGGAAGTCACCCCTTCAACAAGCAACTCCCTGTGTTTATTAAAGGAAGGGTGTTGACAGGCTTGAGGTGGGAACTACTTTTTTTGTTAATAACTTTGATGTTAAAAGACAGTTGTGTAACAGCWGATGGCCTTCTGGTGGTAATTTCCTGCATGGCTCCTTTGGAAACATCAATCTGATTTAATTTATTTTTTATAGGAAATACCAATGAATTTTGTGGATCCCAAAGAAATTGACATCCCGAGTCATGGAACTAAAAACCGCTATAAAACAATTTTGCCAAGTAAGTGAGTTAGCCCATGGTTTCCTCCTATGACATTTAGTCCTGCTTTGAGAATGTGTTGCTGTGAAAATCCAGCTGCCTTTATATTTGCTGATGTGGACCCATTCATACTTGTATTTATACTCCATGTAGAATGATTATAGCAGTCCAGTGCTGTAGGACTGGCAAATGCAGAACTCCCAGGGGATGCCTTAGTGTGTCATGGGTTGGCAGCATCTCAGCTACATATTGAAGCTCAGCCTGGGCTCATGCTGATTTTCTCTGAAAGGCAGCTCAGGCAAATGGGGAGAGTGAGGTCTGCCATGCCAATAGCTCCTCATCACAGCCCAAACCATCWTGCAGTCGCTGAATTCCCTCTGGTTGGGTCAAGATACTTGGGACTGAAAAACACAGACTACAAAAAGGAAGTACAACCTGTCTTGTCTTGTGGCATCCATCTTTATAAGTCCTCTGGAGATTGTTTTTTTTCCAGGCACTAACTGTCTTTGCGAAAATCTGTTTACATTCTTGACACAGTTGCCTCTTCATTGTTCTAAACTTGTTACTGCCTTGCTATACTGCTTCTATATTTTCATTGGCCCAATTTCATATACAGTTGCTTTTTTATAATTAGAGGTGATTGAAAACTTTTCAGTGGAATCATTTTCCTTTAAAATATGTATTTCTCTGAATGCAGCTATTTTCATAACATTTGTTAGCAGATAATGAGATATTCTATTTCTCTTTTAATTAACTTTTTTTTTGGTGTTCTGTTTCAGAATAGGTTGCAGAAGTTTCAACATTAGACTAAATATAGACATGAATAGTTGAGTTTTTACAATTTTTGACATCACCAAAGTAAAAAGTTCAGTGATTCAAAATGTTACAGAGCACTCCCACAGGAAAACGTAAATTCTTTGCTGAGGTTTGAAATGAAGAATACTTTTAAAATGACAGCATACCCCATCAACTAGAAATGTGTTTTCTAAACATCTCTAGAATATCCTTGTGGGCCTATGTTACATGTTAGTTGTTCAAATTCACACACCTTAAATTACAAGGTTTCTCTCACCAAAACTGAAAGTATTACCATTTGTTCACATCATACCAAGGCCTTGCAGTGAAACTATGAAAAATGATGGCCTTCAGCTTCTAGGTTAATCTCAAAAATGTGATATGTAGCTGGAAAAGAAGTTTATGTGGAGTCCTTGCTTGTGTTCAGCCTTCAGCAAAATTTTCATTGTGTTCAAGGTTAGTTCACCTATTATGACCAGTAGCTGTGTGCATCTCAGTACAATTGAGAAATGTTGAAAGTAATTAAAGTCAGAAAGTTACTGAATGCAAGTGAAATACCAAACAGATGACTCAGCGTCCCTTGGAGTCTGGCCCAGTGTCAACAGGATGTACACAGAGGGTGAAATCCTGACCCCTTTGACGACAGCAGGACTTTTGCCATCAGTGCAGCGGAGACAAGATATCACCAGCCTCCCTCTGCCTGACCAGCGGGTTTTTGGAAGGAGTTCTCCCTTCCCATAGCATCTCTTGTCCAGGCTGCCCCAGCCATTCTCAGGTTCACCTCCAGCAATTCCTTGCAAACGCAATGAGTCCTGTTTCGCTGTAGCGAGTGTTCTGAATTGGGACACAACAGCTGCACTGTGCTTGRTGCTGGTGAGCTTTGAGAAGCAGCGTGCCTGTGTGTCTTCACCTCCAGTTAGCCGGGATGTTCCACTAGCTCCACAGCACATTTGCAGTCTGAGCCCGCTGCTGGTGTGCACCACAGCTGCCCCCTGACAGGCACTTTGGAGYCATCCTCGATACAAATCAGAAGGTCTGTTGTGTGTTAGCACCAGGCTTGTTCAAAGAAGGTATTTTGAGGATTGAGGCACATGCTCATAATAAATACTCACACACCCCACACCCAGTCTGAGAGGGTTTGGAAATTGTTTGAGTGATTAAATAGAACAGCTTTCCTGGTTTCCTGCTCAGATGATATCAGCCCACTGCTTTGTACACCCACATCAGCTTTTCCATTCCCGGTGCTGGGTGTGTCTCCAGAATTGGGGCACCTGTGATGACAAGTGACGTTTGAGTTGATGGATTATGTCCTAAAAATGCCCAGTCCTGCCAGCTCCACCTTCTATGCTGTGGTGGATGTTCTCATGTTCTAAGAGATAATTCTATGATGGAATGCATGAGGGCAGGTTTACATTAGCAGATACTGCCCAGCCAGATATGTGAAATACAACTAATGCCTATTGAAAATCATTCTACATGGAAAATTACCAAATGCAGGAGATGTTACATTTCTATGAAAGGTGTTTCAGTTGCAGTATAACATAACCAACACCTTTATGCAAACACCAGGCTGCTGCTTTCAGTTTTCTGAGTGTTGTTTGCATTACAATAATATTCTAATTCAGTTACTGAGGGGCCAGTGTGGGATCAGAGGCAAGTGGCTAAGCAGTTCCTTAAGATCAGTGTTTTCTCCATTCTTCCTCCTGTTACCCCACCCAGAGCTCCTGTTAAACCCTGCTCTGTATCTTTAGCTGTGCTTCCTCTGCCGCCAGCCTACAGTACTAATCACAACCTCTGAGCAGGTTCCCACCCCTGCACAGATTTCCCAGTCCCTTGCCACAGCCACATGCCTGTGGCGGAACAGCAGCCCAGCTGCTCGTTCCTCATCCTCTCACTCCACACCTTCACCTTTGCCTGCAGCCCCCACTACAAGTCCCTGCAGCAGGACCACAGCTTCCTACTATCTTCTATATCTCCTACTACTTCTTCAGCCCTCTGTCTTTCCTACTTCCTGTCTCACTTTTCCATCTCAAACCAGAAACAGAATTCCTGTGGTATTTCAGAGTATGCATGGACTTTTGCTTACAAAGGAGCAAGTGGTTTAACACTGTTCTGTGGGTATCTTTGTGTGTGCAACACATCCATTAGTTTACCATTCCCTATACCTCTCTGAAAACTAACCTCAGATCAAAAGTCTGCATGAAAACACYCTGAGCAGAACAGCAGATTCACACTAACATGAAGATAGAAAGAACTTAGGGGGCCAGACCCAGAAGTCGACAATCTGTTGCTTGAAGTGCTTGTGCTAAAACTGGCTCTAGCATTCCACTAAAGACAAGAAGAAAATTCAATCATATGAGCAAAGCACTTTATTATAAAAGCAYATAAAGAGATGCTGGAAAACTATTCTCTTGATGCCGAAATTTTCAAGCTGCCTTGCACTCCCCAGTCCTGACTACAAATGGTCATATTTGCTGCAGTTGTGCTCCCTAAGGAGGGCACCAATGGATTTCATGTGGTGAATGATTCTCCAGTATCCGTGACTTTGGGAGAGGTTGTCCAGCACTTCTACCATATAACCCTGCTTGTTCCCTGCTGGGAACTCTCATGGAGGCCAGTTATGGTCCCTTTAACATCCTCCTGTTCCTCCAACATGATCAATTCATGGCAACATTAATATTTTTAAGAAGTAGTTAGAAGATGAATTTTCTGCTCTACTGAGAGAACTATTCTGGACTTTGTAGATACGTGGAAAAAAACCAGCAGTAATTTTTCCTCAATTAAAACTGTAGAAGACATATTTTATTAGTAATTATAAGTGGTTAGCAGGTCTGGTGCATTTTAAGGTTTTACAGACATTGATGAATTCAACCTTGCAGTCAACATCTGTCTGCTGTAGCTTCAGACTCTAATACKGCCATCCTTGAGGATAAGATTATTACCTCCAAGGTATTTGTTATTCAGGAGGAAGCTAATGACTTCCATTGGTGTCTGATGATTGCCTAGTGGCTCCAGATCTTTACCATTGCTCAGGTTTTTCTCCTCTCAGTGCTCAGTTTAGAGCACTTGCCTATTTCATAACTGATGATGACTGTTAATTTATAAAAGATTCCTGTTCGGAAGCAGTGTTTGTTTCATTGATTGGAGTTGGAAGGACGTGTCAGAAATTGTGAAACTGATTTAGTTGTTCCCTAGTAACAGAGGGATTTATCTCAAGGCATGGTAATTACACTGGATGTTGAGTCTGCTTGGAAGAGGTTTTTTAAGGTAGGGGTCAAGCAACACCAGAATCAGAGGCATTGTGTGAGCTAGAGGAAGTGGGTGTTTTTTCAAGGCCACGTAGCCTGAGGCATTTGTGGAAATGGCTAATAACCACTCTGTGCTGAAAAGGAATGAGAGGTTTCCTGTCCTCATATTGTTAAGGGGAAAAAAGGTCTTAAGTGAAAAAAAAGTTAGGAAAGCTATTATGAAGAGGTTTTAACACAACTTAATTAGGGTTCACATAGTGCTGTTAACCACAGAAACAAAACTTCTATGTGCAGACTTTGAAAGCATGCAGATATTTGCATGCATATTTACATATTTTAAGAAACATAGTTTCAAACATCATCCCCTTCTATAAAGGCTCCACTTCTGTCCAAGGTGGTCCTGTGACCTTCAGTATGGAAAGGACATAAAGTGTATTTGGGRTCATCCCTCCTCCTTTGATTTGCAAACGTTTTATCATATTCTTAGGAACAGGATGAAAAGTCACAAAAAAAAAATTCAAAAGCACTGAAAATACTAGTTTTTGCTACATCATATGTATATATATACCAGTTATRTATTTCTTGTGTAAACAGTAGGGCTACACACTAGTGTTTTTTTACCTCTTTCCAGCTCAGTGTCTATGTATGTATCTTTAAACACATTGCCTGGATTGCACTCAGCAAAGGAGCTATCCGGAGATTATTTCCAAACCAATACGTGTCTGTATACTGTCAAAAAACTCCACTGACTATAACTAAGTATTTAAGCAAATTGCCAGAAGAAAAAAAGCTTTTCAGCACATAAATATTTCCATATCATTTTGTTAATGGTAGAATGTTTTTTCAGAAAAAGTGTGAAGAAAGTCAAAGTGTGTCCCTAGACAGCCACAACATAGGCATCTCACTCCGCACCTGCTTCCCCCTTTCTGTTATATTGTATACTTGAGAATATACTAGCTTTAATTCTGGAATGGCATTATATGAGGGGCCACATCATCCAAATGAACAAGAAAACCTTTCTTTCCAGGAGGGATTTAATAACCTCCAGCTCTTTACT